AAAAACAAAAAGAGAAAACCATGTGCTTAAGTAAACGTACTTGTCTAAGGATTGGACAAGTTAATCTCGACATACGCAAGGCGACGATGTTCGTTCGCTAGTGGGCCTGATCAGTATCCGCCATGCTGAGCGCGCCTGTATCTTGTACCAAGGACATAACCGGTACGCCTAGATCGGATCTACCGAACTGTCGTAATGAGTTCTACGTAAGAAACGCGACCAAGGACAAACACTTCTGTCCTAGAATAATGTTACGGAACTCTTTAGAGTTCACATCATTCCCAGAGAATCCTTCCGCTAACGGTGTTAAAACGTGGGTTTCTCTGAGCAGGGGTTGAACTCCTGCGTAAAGCATAGGTTCTTCCCTCTGGTACCATTACTCGACCATAACGGTAATCGCTCCGATGGAAACAAGTATCGTAAGTCAGGGTAGGCGATGCAATAGTTTCTTTGCTGAGCGTCTCATCTGGCTGCTTGCCGTGTTCCTGTTCCATTCCACTCTCGTCGTTTGGAAGTCAAGAAGCGATGTGGGCCAGTAATGTGATCGTGCTAATCCAACTGTGATATTAATTCATAGTCCGATATGAATCGCGATCTCTTGTAGAGACGATATCGACGCTCAATTTCTGTAGAGTGGATCCTCTCGAATCCATACCTAAGTAATCAGTTCCCCCTCGAAAAGACTGGGACATTGGGGACTAAGTCCCTCCAAGCTTCGAGGACTCACCAACTTCAACTATCTCCCAATCGGCCGAAAGTGTAAAGATCACAATGACACGACTACTAGTCCATTACCCACGTCCGAAATGCGACAACATACCACAACTTAACCGTACTCCCATTAACATAACAGATCTCGGATGAGTACAGCTCGATGTAAGGTACCCATCAGGCAACAAGCGACATCCATCCTAGATCAAAGCATCCGTATTTTGGGATAGGATAAGGCTTCCGCTTAATCCTTTTGTTCAGTTCCCGGAAATCAGAGATGAATCGTACAGATCCATCTTTCTTGGGAATGATAAAAGTTGGTGCCGCCCACTCGGAACGGTTCACCTTCTTGAGTACTCCTGCCTCGCAGAGACGTTCAACCTCCATCTTAAGAGTGTTGGTATGGACACGTGGAATAGGATAAGCCCTGGCATGATAGGGTTTAGCATCAGGGAGAAGTTCTACTTCGTAGTCATCCATCTGCCACTTTCCTAATGTACCATCGAATAGGTCAGAGTACTTCGTCAGTAAGGAATGAAGCTGTACAATTCCAGATCCAAGCGAACTGGAAACGCCCCTTTCGGACGCACACTGACTCTCAAATTAGTACTGTTTATCCTATAGTAAACTTGCCGATTTTTACAAACAAAAGGTAGGAAAAGGACCACCATGGCGCCTTATTGTGGTCCATTTCGACATCGAACGGAAGCCAGGACCACTACTGCGACCATGGGAATCTCCCAGACACCCACAAGGGAACATGGACCAACCTTGGACCCACCCAAAAGCACTCAAAAACCATTGAACTCAGTCTCACTGACGCTGCTCGACAGGCGGTCATTCAACAACACCTGCGGTCAGGCCAGCTACAAGCTAGTCAATCCCCGCCAACCGGATGGATTTATCGATGTCGCCCTCACCAAGAAATCCACTCCAATGAACCAAGCCTTCTGTAAGCCCTCCAAGACAACGAGAGCGCCAGAAGAGACCACAAATCGATTTCTAGCACTGTGCGATACTAATGATATTTGGTTGAAAAGAAACCAACAGCACAATGACACGGAAGCAGACAATGCATCGATGAAAACATTAGGAACAACAGGTACAGCATCAACCATTCGTTGCCTCGATGACACGCCTCCACGAACCAATAGCCAACGATCGTCCACAAAAGCAGGTCCAAGACGTCACCACACAAACCAACAGCAGTCCAAAGATGTACCGCGTGTCATCCACCCAATGTCGCTACCCTTACCACCCGTACTCGTCACGACGGCCACAAGACCTGTTGCATGGGAAAGACCAATTCCAACGAAATCGTCTTGTTTTCCTCTAACTAGTCTCAAACCTTCGAAAAGAAGCAAAGGTGGAAGCCAAGGGAAATCCAAACGAAATACTCAGAGACGAAAAGACGAAGAATCAATTGTTGTCGATCCAACCAACAGCATCGATTGGCCCAAGTTACACTCATCCTCGAAGCCGCAACAGCAGGAGACTGATGAAGATCCCACGAATTCTCTGGCTACTACCGCTGTTACTACTACTGCTACGGAATGGCCAAAACTATCTACTGCAATAAACACGTCCGATCTATCTGTATTCTCGACACCACAATTGCAACGTGATGATTGTCTTGCCAAGGTACAACCAAAGCATCCCACTGAAGGTGCCGATGACCATAGCAAACGTTCCAAACGCTTCAGACTCAAAGCCTCCATTCAAGAGTTCCTCGCTGGCAAACAAATCGGGCGACAGAATACCATCAGCAACAAGGGCACGACAACGGACGGAACCGCCATCGAATCTTCACCAGCAGCTCTGCCTCAGCCTACAGTGGTAGCAAAACGACAATGTATCACACATAAAGGAGTCGGTACAGCTCAGGAACCCCTCGATCTCCTCTCTCCCACAACAGCAAGTACAGACACACACTCCCCCCCTTACAGATACTGCAACGATCGCGCGTCTCCATCAGCATCCACACCACGGCGATACTCAAAGGATCGTGCTACCCATGCAACAAAGTCCGGTACAACAACAGCAGAATTCTCAATGCCAGTGGTGTGTCCAACCTGTAATGAACCGGTGTCTCCACTGCAATACACGGCTCTTAGCCTTATTCGCGACTCGATCCTAGATAGGGTTTGAGTTCGACTCATGACTGAGTCTCTCGTACGTGGAGGAATGCGTTGATGCAAAAATCAATGCAAAGGCAGGCATTCCAAACGTCTTCAAGTAGTGCCTGCAACAGCTAGATTCGTAACTACTCTTTGCAGAGACTAGAAGTCATCTCCTTGAGGATGGTATGTTTGTCGGTAGGCGTAGCAAGGGCAAGCCCAACGAAGACCTTCTACAAATCGTCCAGCCTACTTGATGGTCTGACGTGAGTCTCAGATCCATTAAGAGATGATGACCCTGAAGGTCGTACTTGGCGCTGTTAGGATCTGCTGGAACAGTGCGAAGATTTGTAGGTGGTAAAGCGAGAATCGTCGATTTCGCAGTCATCGTCGAGGTCGATTAGAGGAAGGATTGGTTGTCGCGCAGCTTAGACTCGAAGCTGGTGTACGCGTCTTTGGCAATCTCATGGTGAGGAATAGTTGGAGGGTAGCTGAAAGCAATTGTTTTTGTTAACAAAATTCACTATGCTAAAAGCTAGAGTTAAGATCTTTCGAGTGTTTTGATTTGGAGAGAATGAAAGTTATTAGAGGATCAGAAAGCTATGAAAAACTAAACAACGATAGAGATCCACAATCAAAGGATCGAGATCTGAACTCCCGCGGGAAACTGTAAAGTGTGATAGAGTAGGTGCGGTAGCAACCTGCTCATTCCACGATCCAAAAACGGAACCAGTGGAAGATTCGTCTAGGATTACTTAGTAGGTGGAAGTATCTACACTGCTGGCTAAGATATCTAGGCGATGTTCATCATCAAAACCTAAGTATGGACTAGAGCGGATCATGGAGAACCCTTCTCAATAAATATTC